CAATTCCGGTTGTGTATCTCAAATCTCTAAGTAGAGTTACCTATATCCACCTGCACCAAGATTACACACCCCCAGCCTGTCCTGCCTTCTTTGCAGCAGTGCTCCCTAACTCCACCTTCCATCTGTTTGGCTTCAGTTTAAGCCCAAATCTTTCTGTCCTGTCCACCAGATACAGAGTATCCCTCTCTTTTGATGCTAGTGATGCTTCTGCATATGAAATGGGCCAATTAATGAGCTGAAGAATGACAACCTCCACTCAGGCTTCTTAATACACTTGGTTTTACCCAAAAGGGATCACGTAGCATCCAGAACTTGTACAAATGTGAGCAGAAAGAAATGCAAGATACATTAAAATAATGCAGTAAGTTCCGGAAGAGGAAGAGGAAGAGGAAAAGGAGAGGAGAGGAGAGGAGAGGAGAGGAAAAAGCAATCAGTCTGCTGGTTTTCTTTTCATTAAATGTGATTAGCTCATAAAAACTTTGAGTTAGTCAGCATGATGGGAATGACTCATCAGACCTAATTTTAGCTGCTTAGAGTTAGCCAGCATTTCCAAAACAGTCATCTCATCTCCTTCAACAACAAACAGGGATGGATGAGCACTTCCAGGATAATAGCATCCTATTGCCTTCAGCTCCCCAACCACTCAAGTGGGGATGGAATGGAGTCCTCTGTGAAGACAGAGCAAAGTTACAGCAACTACAGAGAGCCTTGGCCAGTAGGTGGTACTTCACCTCTTGGTGGCTGAGGTCAAGTGAGATAAATTCCATTTTAGGCAACCATAAATTCAGAGTCAGTAACTTTTACATCAGCAGGATAATGAAACATAACGTAAATTAGATGTGATCGTCATCAGGGGGGAAAAAAAGCATGATGAGATATTGTATATTGGATAACAGAGGTGTGCAGGGCGTGGAACTTCCATGTCATGGCAACTTCGAAACACTGACGTTTTCTTTCTTTTTCTTTTTGCAAATGGAGCTGACAGCTGAGTGTGTTGAATTTCTCTGCAAAGGATCATTTTTACAGTCATTTCAGATGAATAAACATATTTCATTTTGACAAAATCATGCCTTTTGGTCTCTAGATTTAACGATTTCTTTCTAAAGCAGTGTAACACAATAAAAGCAAAAGCAAGACTGGCATTCTGAAATGAAAAGGCATTTTGATGTTAAGAATGGCAAAGCTCCCTCTAAAACCAGGCTGCTCTGTCCTGAGGCTTAACATGATTGTGCTGATTTTCACCTCAGGCTCGAGATGCTATTTTGATTTCTGAAGAGTGCAAAGGAGCCCATTTGACCAGCCTTCCTTGCTGACAGAGCCAAGCCTGCATGCAGCACCATAGCATGCAGCTGACAGGGCACATAGATTGAATTGTGAGGCTGTGGCATTACTGGGAGCAGCTCATGACAAAGAAATGAGAAAAGCTCTGCAGGATCTCATTGGGTATCTCAGAGAACTGAGGGTATAAGCAGGTTCTCAAAGCTACTTCAGTAACACTGGGTTCCAGTACTGCCAGTTTGCTCCCTCTTACATAGAACAGCCCTGCATGTTTCCCATTGCAACCCCAGGAAAGGGGCTTCACCTGAGCTACCAGAGAGGGGCAACTGTCACACAAGAGCAATCACTTTCTGTGATAGTAGGGGAATTTCAGAGCCTCCCAGAGGGGCAGGGAACTGAACTCCCAAGTAAGTTAGGCAGTTTTGAAATGTTTGACCTAGAGGGCACGCTGCATTGTTCTAGTTCTCTGCATAGATCATTATCTCTCTCTGGGTGTCTTCAACATTAGTCCCTCCAGGGTAATAAAGTTTAGAATAAGTTTGCTCAAGCACAGTAGCTATCTAGTCAACCCAAATATAAGCTGTTTTCTTGTGCCAGCACTAATCTGTTACTGATACCCACACTAACCATTATGAAGCTCCTTTTAGCAGTATTTTAATGTAGGCATGCTGACAGCGTGAGGCTTATAATGTAAATGCTTGTGCACATGAGTTCACTGTTTATACTCTAAAAGCTATGCTAGGAGAAATTGTTGGAACTGATTTTAATTGCAGTGAAAAGCTAGATTTGTGACTCCAGCGATAGCCTGCTTAAGGTCACAGCTGCTTTCTGATAAGATGCTTTTCCAGAAGGCTGACTGACAGTTGCCACTGAGTCTTCTGGATCTTCACAACTAGTGATGAGGGCAACTGCACTAAATGATTTCTGGTTTTCACTTAATGATTTGATTTCTGTCACTGATGTCTCTGCTTCTTTTTCCACCATCTTCTCTGTTCGATTCCATTCTTGCTCCTTCCTGTCCAGCTGCATGGCACTGCAGTGAGGAGCATAAACCTCTGTAGTTTCCTCAAACTGCAAGCAATCCACTTTATAGTATTTCTTCTTTACATGTAAGACATCATTAAACCTATAGCCCCAAAGAATCTCTCTAGGCACGTACGAGCTTCTTGACTGATGTGAAGTCCCTGTTGAATCCCCTGTGTAGACAAATGTGACCAAGATCTCAAAGTTGTCCTTGGCCAAAGCTTTCCGGTCCAGACCATACAAAGGACTCTCACTATTAATTTCATGCACTACTGTCACTGGTGTAACAAGTATGATCTGGTCATTCAGCAGCTTCAAGTCTTTGTATTCCATTGTCATCCTTCCTTCCTTGTCTTCCTTGTAGCGCAGGAGCTGAGCTCGTACAGAGCCCTCCACCATGTGGTTTGGTCGGAAATCGCCGATGCGCCACATCAGGCAAAATTTATCATCCCTCAGGCCTACCACAGCATAGTAGCTGAAACGAATGGTTTGGGCTCTTTTTCGAGCCGTGGCCATTTTAGCCAAGGCTGCTCCGATGATGAAAGTGTCTATAATGCAGCTTAGTACTGACTGCAGGATAACCATCAGGATTGCCACAGAGCACTCCTCTGTAACGCAGCGGTAACCATAACCAATGGTCGTCTGGGTTTCGAGGGAGAACAGGAATGCCCCCGTGAAGCTATGGACATTTGCAACACAGGGGGTTGTTTCTTCATCATTCAATAAATCTCCGTGTTGCATTGCTATCAGCCAGAAGACCAGTCCAAAGAACAGCCATGACAGAACGTAGGACAGGGAGAAGATGACAAACATGTGACGCCACTTGATGTCCACCAGGGTGGTAAATATGTCCACCACGTAGCTCTCCCATTCCCCAAAGATGTGTTTGAAGTACACATTGCAGCTGCCATCCTTGTGGAGAAACCGCTTCTGCTGTCTTTTCATCCCCCTTTCTGGGCTTTTTTTGCAAGAGCCTTTGTAACTGATCTTATTTCCCTGTATGTTTACAGGCCTATAGCAACCACTCTGTTCAGTCATCTTTCTCATATCTGCCTCGTGGCATCAGTTTACAAGACACACTTGTGGTCCCAGGGGCTATTTGTTTCCTTTGTTCATTGGAAATCTATGAAATAAAAGAAAAAGTTCATTTTTGTTTTTAATTTCGTATGCCAAACTCTGTAAAACTAAAACTAAATACACTCTCTGGCCATCATGAGCAATTTTCTGAAGAGTACAAACACTGACACTGATTACGCCATATAGCTCAAAAACTCAGAAATTCAGCTAGAAAATCAACCAGCTAGAAATGCCCACATCAATCTTAAAATCTGTTATTTAGATGTAAGCAGAATCCAAAACTTTTGTGGTGACCCCACTGTGTCTCTTCCAAAGTTCTGGTGAAGTAGCAATCAAATCAGGATGGGCTTTCATGAACACTCACAGGGATGGCATGAGCTCTCTGAAAGGTAGCCAAGCATTTAGGCTTGTTCCTTTAGTCAGTTTAGGCATTTAGTCAGTTGTTCCTTTTTGTTCTGTGTTTGTTTTCCCACTCTAGAAGAAATGCCTAGGTAAACGTTCTCATTCAGCCATAGAATACAGTGTCATGGACCGACAAGTTCAGCTTTAACCAGAAAATGTTTCAACCACACATTTGTCATTATTGAATTTCAGTATGGCACAGAAAAAAAGATGGGTCAAGCGATTTCTTTTTACTGATCTAGAGCTAAAGAAATACATTTGCAGCCCACGGGAAAAAGAAATCTCTCTGAGGTCCTGCAAACCCTCACAAATAATTCCTTAAAACAATAACAACAAAAATCCAGTTGCCAAGAAGTGTTTAGATTTTTATTAACGAATTTGGAACGAACTGCGCTAACAAAATGTGTGGATGACACAGCTTTAGAAAGTGATGTGAATTAGGAGATTCCTCTGTCAGATCAGAGAAAAAATTGATGTCTTGGCAGATTGTAACCGTATGAATTTCAGCAGTATGAAGTGCCAGGCTGCGCATTCATTGACTAATAACAAGAGTTTGTGTTAGAAACTGAGACCTCGTCAGTTGAAATCCATTAAAAAGCAAGGACTTAGCTGAAGTGATACAGGATGCTTATGAATTACTTGTAGGATACAGCACTGAAAAAAGCAGATGCCTTTTCCTACAGCTCTCCAACTCATTCTACTATATCCCAACCCCTAACACATATAATGCTGAAAAATCCGAAGCATGTACCACTTTTTGAGGAAAAACTCTCATTTTCCAAAATTGTAAGCTTTCAGTGGAAAAATGGCAAAGGCTATTCCCGTTTTTAAGCTGGTTTCATGTGAGAAGAGTTCAGATGTAGGCATACAATGAAGCCAGAGTATTCATGGAAAATGAATTTACAAAAATGATTCCCAGCCGTAGCCTTTTTTTCTCAGCTCTTCATTCACTTTGCAAACGTATAAATGACTGCACACAGTTTAAGGCAGAAGAGAGTCAGGCCCATAGAGTGTAATATACATTGGATGGACTAGATTAACAGACTGAGAAAGCTTCTCCCATCCAAGTAACAATGACAAGCATGCATAGACACTATTCCAAAAACACTTAAAAGCCAAACATAGTTTCCATTTCTTTTTTCTTTTCTTTTTATTTTTTTCTTTTCAGTACAGAAATGAATGTGACATATGGTGTCGTAGCCTCAGAATGTGGCCTGCATTAAAAAACACAACATTAATGTTTCCAAAAATACTTCTTGGAATACAGTCTTTGGAAACATTCATATGACTTGCTTTACTCATTGCTTTAAACAAACACTTTAGCTTAGTCCATTGACGACTACTGACCTAACATCTTATAAGTCATAATTAACAACAAACAAAAGCTAGAAACTGTTGTGCAATTGTTTGAAGAAGCTCATGATGTGAGGTGTGAAAATGAAGCACATTGTAAGCAGGAGTCAATATGTCATTATACACAACACATACCAAGGTTTTATGCTGTTATTCTTATTGACTGCTTCGGACGAGCGTGCCTTTAAATTACTCACAAACATCTTGCTGCTCTAAACAGAGCTCCCAGATCATGAAAAAAAGACTACTGAGTTGATTCCACTTGCTGCTGTTGCCTTCAGCAAATAATCTTATTTCAGAAATGCTGTTTTGCTGGTACCATCTTTAAGTACTGATGGTGTTGGCAACAGCGATAGACTGTCAGACATGCAACTAAGTGGGAAAGTCCACCCAAATTGTACAGTAGTCCATGATGCACTGGAGAGAACTTTGTGATTCCTCGTGCATTAAGATCCCACCCTACTTAGGGTCCCTCTTAAGCACAGGTGGTGGTTATATATATATTCCTGTGAGTGCCTCAGGTGGGGTTCTGACTGGTGTAAATGAAGCCATGCATTCAGATGCTGGACTGGATTTTGCAAAACAATTGTATGAGTATGCCTATAATATATAATAAATATATAACATAATATACAAAATAATATATAACATATAACATATATATATAAAACATGCAACATATATAGCATTTAACATATAATATGTAATATATAATATATGATATAGAGAGAGTAGATCTATAAGAAGAAGAAACATGATGCAGAGCCTTTTCAACCAGAACCAAATAATCTACCCCTGGAGCTAGGTGGATTAGAATAGAATCAGTGCAGAGGAAAAGTAACACATATATTGCTCTCAGTTAATCTTTCTCCATCGTGTTGAAAATTGGCTTGCTCAGAGCCATTTGGCATTGCGCAGTGGAGACGTGCCCCAAATGACCTAAAATCCCAAATGTGCTTGAAAGTCTTAGGAAATAGCCTCCTCAGTCACTCAAAAACATCTACAAATGTTGCCCAGTATTTTGGGTGTGCTTAAAGGTGAGCCAAATCTGAACTTTTCCAGGCTACCTCTTCAAGTCTCCTGAGTGCAATAATAATCATGCATCATAATTAATAACTCTTTTATATTGTCTGATGTTGCTCAGAACGTTTTAAGTTTAAAAAAAAAAACATCCTTCAATGTTCCTGAATTATATAAGCTTGTATTACGATCTGCACTTCATTCATGGGGACACTTTTGAAAGTGATTTTCCTATTTCAACCAAGAGGCACTGAGGCCAGATGTTCATCGCTTGCTCTACGGAGACATTCTGCCTTTTGCAGAGCAGTCTGAAGGCTATTATTACTACCTAAGTTTAAAGAGGAGAAGACCACAGACTTATAACCAGACTTCTGCATCTCAATCTTGGAGCCATGTCAAATATATTATTTTTCAAAACGGACAAAATATTTTACACATCCCGAGATGCCCGTAGGAACTGCATTAAAGACCCTACTACCTGGTAAAGATTAACAAAGAGGATGGGGGAGGATTTAAAAACATTCCCTACTCACTAAGGCTCATGGATCAGTTGCTGTAAATGATTCTCAGATGTTGCCAGGAAGTGTATTCACCTTCCTCTAACAATCACAATCCCTCACCCTTTTTTGTCTTGCTTTTACTTTCTGTATGTGTTTTATTTTCCCCCCTTTGCTTCTGGGCATGTTTGTACACATTATAAGCCTCCTCTTGCATACTATCCTGTCTTTCAGAGCAAAAAGTGCATGGAAATTTACAGTATTTTTAGTAACCATACATATAGGCATATTTAACCCCTACACACTGGCTTATTAGAGATAAAAATTGAGCAGCAAACTTAGGCAAGATAGAAGGAAGAGAGTAATTAAGAAATCTCAAAGATTTCATTAGGGTAAATGCCAGAGAGAGTTCAGAAGGTCTTCTTTATGAATCAGTCTCAGAGTTCAGAAAATAAGCAAATACTCTGAGCAAATTATCTGAGCCAAGGCTAGGATCTTGCTGTGTTATGTACTGCAGCATTGCTGCTGCAGAGAGCTGTGTTCGTAGGGTCAGCACATGGACCCCCAAACTGGTATCTCTGAAATTCCCACCCTGATTAGATAAAGGTAAGTACATACACTGGTTTAAAAGGCCATAAGGTAGTGCAGTGGCAGAACTAGGAACAAACTCAGCACCCAATTACATCCATTTAAGAGTTACAACAAAGCAAACACTACTAGAATCAAGCCTTTGTATTATATTTATCATCTTAATCTGGTTCCTCTTGAATAGAGCAGTTGTACAAGAAGCACTCTTGATTGTCATCAGCTCTCTCAGAAGCTTTAAGCATCATGTTAAAGCTTAAAGACTTTTAAAGGCTTTCAGTAAGTGTAACCTGCAACTTCGTTGTGATATTTTGAGTTTAGGGTTTAGCGTTTTATGGGGATAATTCCTGTACTGCACCTTAACCTAATACCTAACGAGTTGTTGTTACACCCATTTTATGACTGTGTTTTCCCATTATGTAAACATGTAGAAGCAAATTTTTGTTCAGTGACAACTTCAGTCAACAGTCTGTTTGTAAAGCATTAAGCAAAACAATGTGAAGATCTTGGTTCCAGAATAATTATGTTCTGAACATGAGATTAAATCAAAAATAAGACAATTCGAAGCTTCCAAATGAAGCTGGGTCCTCTCTGCTCAATTCCACGCACGTGGAAGTGGATCCCTCTCTGGCATTGGCTTAGCAATCACCTCAGTTTCCCACTTCATTTTGGAAAAGGTCTGAAAGGTTTTCAGTTTTAGTCATTGTTGTGTAACCCTGGAAGTCTTTGAGCTCATAGACCAGAAATGTGACAAGTAGAAGCCTTTTGAGCTGCCTTGGAACTGACTCAAATACTTGTTTCCTAAAAAAAAAATCCAACCAACACCAACAAAAAAACATCACAGAAACTAAATAAATCTATTGTAGAACAGTTGAGACTCTTCTTTTCCTTCCTTCCTTCCTTCCTTCCTTCCTTCCTTCCTTCCTTCCTTCCTTCCTTCCTTCCTTCCTTCCTTCCTTCCTGCCTTCCTTCCTTCCTGCCTGCCTTCCTGCCTGCCTTCCTGCCTCCCTCCCTTCATTTTTAGAAAGGGAACCAACTACCCCTAATACTTGAATCAGAAAAGTCATATTCTTGTTCTGTAACACGGAGAGTAAGAATATTTATATTCTTTTGTATTTATCTCCATCTCATCTTAGATTCCCACAGATTACTGAAGGGTATCTCTGCAAGGAGAGGGAAAAAGCAAACTCCCCTAAACTGAGCCTGACATATTCCCAGAGCCAGAGCCCTGGGGATCAGAGCTGAAGGAGAGGGGTCTCCATCCCCGAATACAAACCAGAGCACTGTCAGATCATACATGCTCTTGTGTTGACTTCAATGAGAGGAGCACACCCAAACCATGAGCTTTGATTGCAAAACTCTTAAATTCACAATGATTTATACGCAGCCATTGGAGCAAAGCTTTAAAACAGCTCAAATTTCCCTAAAATTAAAGTTTCCTTGTACTGATCACTTCAGATTAGATGACTGAATGCAGCAGAGGTTGGCTGGGCTGCAGTTCAACCAGCAGTGTGACTGAAATACACAGTTGTGAGAGCATTGTCTTACAAGGAACACCATTCCTCTCCATCATTTTGTGAATATAGGTCTTTCAACTGCAAAGATTCCAAATACAGAACTAAAAGCACACTTGAAATATGCTAAGCTCGGAGAAAAGGATAATTCTTGGACTTCCAATTCAAAACCTCAGTGCAGGAAGAAGACCTGGAATATCAGTGTATAAGTGTTTATTAAACATTTTCTGAGATAGATACAAATAGCACAAAGCAGCAGACATTTGCACGCATTTTAAAGTATTGCAACTGTGCTGCAATCGACACTGAAACAATTCCCAGTAGGAGATATATTGGCATTTAATTCATCTAAGTGAAACCAGATCTCCTTAAAACTAAAGAAAAAAAAAAGAAAGAAAGAAATTTGCCCCTTTAGTTTGAGATGACAGGCTCTGATGGTTACTTCTTGATGAAGAGTGGATACCAGAGCCTTGGGACAGGTTTATAATGAGCAAGGCCCCTGATTACAACTCAGAGAGACTCCCAGAATCTGTAGAAAGCTGAAAATGTCTATTTTAATCTATTCACACCATATGCACTGCTTGGTCGTAGCCAAGAGCAAGCAGTGGAAACACTGAAATACCAAGAGAAATGGAAAGTGCTGGCAACTTGAAACTCTTTATTTCAGGCCTCACTGCCATTCTTTGTCTCAGACAGTTTGGCAGGGGTGAAACCTGAAACTGCTCACAACTCAGGACTCTCTTCCCCTTTTCAGCCCTGAGCTCCCAGACACTCCTATACCAGGACAGCTGGGCACAGCATGCTTTTAACAGCTCCAGATCCATGCCAGCATCTCCTGGTGCAGCTGTAGGTGGTAGAAACACATGTGACATGCAGTGCACAGGCAGAGTTCAGCCAGGGAGCAGCCACCTCCCTGCATCAGTGCTGGGACTGCCTTCATATGCTACATCCCCAAGCAAGGAGCACAGCAAACAGGAGGCCAACCCTTAAAGGTGACCCTGCTGTGTGACCAGTGCTGCCCACCCCCCTGCAGAGGAGCAGCAGAGTCCAGGAATCATCGTATCATCATTTCCTGCTGCCTGAAAAGCCCTCCTTCTGGTTCTTAGCCCATGAGGTATGAACCCTGTGCATTTCAGGGCTGAGCTGATAGGATCAGAGCTTCAATCTCTGGTGGGGTTCCTGCAGCCTCAGTTCTAGAAAGTGGTAAAGCTGATGCATGTAACAGCTATGCAGATATGGAACTGAAAATATTCATTTTATGTCCAGTTTTCCTCCAGCGCAATTCAGCAGCCAACCTCTCAGTAACTTCAGCAGGCACAGCCCCCTGGGCTTTAATTTTAATCTAAGTTAGCTGTGAGGCAATTGAATATAAGTATTAGGACTAATTACAGTTTCCTTCTTCCTGACACACTCATGTCAAAATCAGCGCACACTGATTTCAATAGCTTGGCAATATTCTCCACACATTGAGCTTTGTGAGTTCTATTCAGCCTACACGAGCACAGAAAAAAATCTTCGAGGAACTTTTCCACTGTATCTTGCTGGCAGGGAATAATAGAACAGTTTGTTGCAGCTCTTAATAGACATGATGTAATAACGTATTCAACAATAGGTAAGTGGCAGGGCATGAACAATGACAGAATGAGATCAGATCATGCCCGCCACTTTTGGTTAACAGGACCAACACCCTCAGCTCTGTTGTTTGCTACAGTTCAGTGTTGCTGTACCTCTTCTCTAAACACAGGGGGTTATTAATAAGGTATGAGTATGGGGGCAGAAAAGAGACAGTATTCTACAGGGTTTCTTCCACTTGCAGGGGCTGTTTTCTTTACTGCTCCTTGAAACAGAAAGCATAATCCTTTTCTGCTATTTTCTGGAGTATGCTGTAAATCAAATATCCAGGGAAGGGGACATACGAACACAGTCACTATCTTTCCTGTTGCACTCTTTATTCAAATATGTCTCTAGAATAAGAAAGGAGAGTAGACACCAGGTGCAGTTAGATCCCATGTATTCCAGTGTTCCCAGCTCTCTGTACACATGTCAAAAACAACTGAGAGAAGAAAAGGTTGTATGTCTTTAGCCAAAGGCTTATTTGAAGATCAGAGGACTCTTTATATGGTTTGTGCAAATTTTAATCCTGCCAATTCAAAAGGCATCAGTTTTGACAATGCAGAGGCTTGTGTTGGTGTCAGTTGAGCTTGGATTAGATGCCTTACTACTGCATTTTGTATATGGATTAGAATAGAATAAAAGAGAAGCCCAAGTCAACGTGGTGTGTGAACTGTGTTCAAGAGGGAAATAAGACCTGAGTGGGAAGCATGAGGATCAAAGATTTTCTGTTAAAGTTTGTTCAACCCTGGTAAAAAGTTCCTGAAGAGAGCTTGACACCAGTTGTTGACTCATAATGGCTATCAGGTGCAAAGGGGAGCACCTGCAGGTTTCTACTCAAACCAACCTTGAGCTGCTGTCTTCAGCATGAATTCCCTTCTAATTCTCAGAAGCCATCTCACTGCACTTAACAAAATATCTCAAATGCCAATGAAATCACAAAAGCCTTTAGCATTTTGAACCTAAAATATGGTCAAATAGTGATGATTTCATGTTACTGCCCTGAGCAAATGGTGAGGAGAAGGAAAAAAATTTAGAACAGGTAAATAAATGAATCCCATTCACACTAATTAGGAAATGTCACAAACAAAAAACCAAACAAAAGTGTTGATTCCAGCTGTCCAGCCTTTCTCCAAATCAAAGGTAAGTATTAGTTAAGGACCAAGTCAAACAATGTACCATGCTTTTTTTTCAGCAGAAAATTCTGTAACAGACATTAAGATATGTAGTCAGATAAACCAGGCAATCAAAAACTATGCTTCAAGAAATCTGTTTATCAATCATCACTAGGGTCAAGAATGACTGTTCTTTCTGAGCAGCTTTGTATGACTCATATGTGGACACAGAAACAACAGAAGACCACCTCTGATATGCCTCAATGTGGTTTTATCTCAAGTCTGGTACAGGGTATCAATGTAGCTTAGTTTAGACTAAGATTGGAGCTGCTCAGCCAAAGCTCATAGTCCAACGTGGCATCCCAATGTTTAGGTACTTCATCCAAACCAAGACATGCTTCCACATTTTTCAGACTATATTTGTTTCACCACTTTTCAAAAGCTTGTGAAATGTATTGAATGGTTTCAGAGATCAGAGGCCTGATCCGAAGTCTGGAAGTCAGCAAAGTGATTCTCTTCAATGTCTCATTTTGGATCAGGGCTAGCTGTTGGGTTTCTTAGTATCACCACAGGCAGTGTCCACCGTCAGAATTGGCTCGGTTTGCTGGAATTAGAGCAATACTTTCTAAGGAACAAGGGCTTTCCTCTAATCTTCATTTTCTTTGGTTCGCATAATTTGGCAGAGTATAGACTTTCCATATTCCTACTTAACTCCACTGAGATCTACATGAAATTTGGGAACAGGAAGATTCTTTCAGAGATGATTTTCAACCCCTTGTAGAGCAGATGGCTGAACCTTTGTGTCTGCATCCTCATGAGCCTTGGCCTCAGCATGGATGCATGTGATCTGGAAAGGCAGGTTACTACAAATTTCAATAGTTGCTTGTACTTTTTTTCAGAACTTACACTCAGCATGGTGTTGGCTGCTTGTTTTCAACTGTTTTTCTCTTCCAGGCTTCAGTAGCCCAAATTACAGTTGAAGTTGTGCAAGAATAATTAATGTGGAAGTGGAAAATCATGTGTGTCTATGCGTGTATGGACCATACATCCAAAAGCCTGATTTTTACCTCAGTGTGTGACTTGCAAAACTTCCTTTTAGATCCCTTAAGCTATCCCAAAGCTTATTCCTGACCACCTGAATAAGGCTGTGAACACAGCAAGTAGTATTTTAAGAAATTCAGAATCTTTGTTTAATTCTCGTCTCTTCTCCCCATCTTTTAAAACACATTTAGCTCAGTTACTTGTTCCTTTAAAGATGGGAACATTCATCTTGAATCAGAGCTGTGTTTTATCTTTGCCAGTGCCTACTCTTTAATAGCAGTCCATATCACATATTTAATGGCACATACCTATGTATAAAACTTGCCTTTAACTATAAATATGAGTTTAGGATTTATTTCATTGGATTTTTGTCTTTCAGTGATTTGCACAGAGGCCGTCTATGTCTCCCTCAGTGCCCAAAGTCTGTGTCTCTGTGCCTGATCTTCATATGGAACATTTTCACTCCGCAGTACTACTGACTGAAGGAGCTACTTGTGGAAGGTTCATTTCATTTCAAGATATTTGTAATGAACCTGTTCAGTCAGCCGTGTTTTTCCTGTTTTACTTCTCAAAGGCAAACACTGCGAACAAGTGAGCAGATCTTATCACAACGATGTTAACAAAAATACGTCAAATAAAAATGTTACATTACAAATGTCAACACCAAAAAAAGAGAGAGAGAGAGATAAAGAGGCCTAAACTGCAATTTAATTTGTTTTATTGCCAAAGGATAATTTTGGGAAACAACTTTTTCTGTTTTACCTCATATGCCTCTATGAAAAGCATCTCTCTCATGTATTACATATTAACTTTGGAGGGCTGTAGTCAGCATGCTGTTGAACCATCCTAAGCAGAATTTCACTCTTTGGTTTGAAATTTTCATTGAGCGACCCCCACAATATTCTTCAAACTAGTTGGGAGTTAGAAGAGTAATTAATCAGCAAAATTAAATTCAGAAGTGATACACCCTGACTATATGACAGATATTTTGGCTTTTATTTTCCCTGCATCTTTTTTTTTCCCCTCCTGTTTTCACTGATACAGAGCATCACTTACTCCTGCCGCAAAGCCAGAGTCACTCAAAAGATCCACAAATCCGTAGGTTATTAACTAAACCTCAGAACACTACCGAGGCCTGGCAAGCTCCAAATCATGTGAACTTGGACTGGTGGCATTCTTCCTTAGGAACATTTTGTGTAGTGCTAAGCTGTATTCACTTCATACTCAAAAGATCTTCAGGGAATTAAGTCTGTGAAAAACATGAAGTGGTGTTTCCCACAGAAAAAGCAAGTCACACTACTTGGGTGTCTAAGTCTGGGAGCAACTGCAATTCTTATTATGCTCAGGAGGGAAAGTACAGATTAAGGAGACTAAAAAGTAACCTGAAAGGTCCTGGAAAGAAGCCAGAAGAACTGTAACAAAGGCCAAGCAATCTGAAAACAATAATGTCACAAAACATCCCGCAGAAAGAAACAAGAATGAATCTCCAGTCCATATGAATGCTAGATAGATGAAGTTATCTCCCAGCTAACTGCCAGCACAAACATCATTTACTAAGCTTGACAGCTGCACAGCTATTAGGAGAGGAGCTTGTGTTTAAAGGCAGAAGCAGCAAGTGGGTTCCAACAACATTATGACGCGTGTTGGTAATTATGACATTATGACATTGATTTGGTCTCCGAGTGTTTTTCAAATCAGGACTTGAGGTCTCTTTGTTCTCCTATGTAAAACCCAGCTTTGAGGTCATTCTTCTCCTTACACACCCTTGGCTGTTTATGAACAACCTCACAAAACTCAAAGCCCATTTCCCATTGAGGAAGACAAGAAACAGGTTGTGTCATTGTCTGGCTCAATTGTTCTCTGTAACTACATAACAATGCCAAAGAGAGCAATACTTACTAGCTTTAAGTTTTATTGTTGTAAAAGCCTCATATCAACAATGAAAGGATATGCATGGGCAGAGGTTTGACTGAGAAGAATCTGTTTTTCATATTGAAGTAAAATGAATGTGACTGACATCTATCTATTTGAAAGGGAAATCAGTTGAAGGTTCAGTGAGGTACTCATCTATAATGAATGCTAAGGGCCATTTCTACCATTTATCATTAAAACAGATAACTCTAGATGTCTATGTGTGACAGGAGTCCCACACTGACATCCCCAAGGATGCCAAGACAAACTGCTTATGCTTTTGGCTTCAGGGGAGAGTGGAAGACTTTCAAACCCTGATCTGATATTTCCTTAAAACTGCAGCAATGTATTCTCCTCATCTGGTTTTATGCGTTGTTGCTCCTAGCAGTGGCTGTATTTTATCAGTTTAGAAAGCACTTCAGAGTCTTTTGGAATAAAAAGATTGTTTGGGGGGAAGTTGGAAAAATGTCAGTAGAAAGGATGAAATATTGTCCCACACCCTTGCTTTGCTGAACAGAGAGTCTTTTCTTCTAGTGTTGGTTTAGGACTTAATCCCGCAAGGTCCTGTCTGTCAGCAAATAAAATCAGGTTTAAGAGGATGAAAAACCATCCTGGAAATCACCAGAAACTATTTTGTTAGCAAGAAATTGAGGAAGTGCTTAAGTTCTCCAATAGACTGGGACCAGAGTACTCAGCGCCCTGCAGAAATGAGCCTTCAGTTCTTAGAACCATTGTGTCCAGAACAGCCATTCATTAAGGCTTTGTGCAGAGAGGCTGAATTTCACTCACTTGGAAGATATTCTTTATAAGCCCCCGAGACGCAGACTCTTTGGTTGATTTGGAAAATAAAATGATTAATAGCATTTTACAAGGTTTTCCACTAAACAGTTTTCACTTAAAGGCTGTCACAAGCTAAAGAAATTGTAGGAATAGTGTCAATCTGATGACATAGTGGCAATAAATCCTATTGTACTGGATTACGTTTTTACTCATTAAAATGCTTTGACCTATTGTCATCCAAGTAGAACCACATTCCACTGGCTGTTCAGAAGGTTCTGATTTCACTCTTGATTGTTACCAGGGCAACTGCACCTCAATCCAAAACTGCTGCACCAATCATTTAACTTGATTTGAATAGACTCTTGTAGATAAAACAAAGACCTAAGTATTCATTCTCATTGAAAAAGTCAAAATCAAATCTTTATGAGACGTGAATAACAGAAACTCAGAGGAGTTATTTCAGCAATATTTGTTGGAGATTTTTGTGTGTTTGCTTGTTTTGTTTTGTTTTCCAGGAAGCACTAATTGCCTCATTTATTTGGGGAATAGCTAGCTGTGTGATAAAATGCCATGAAAAGATGAATATTCTTAGGCTATCCAATGCAAGAGTGCACTAGAAATCTCACCACAGACCACTCCTGGAAAGAGTTCTCGCTCAGTTTTGGAAAAGTAAAAGAATTTTCATTAATAGTCAAACAGCTGGTTAATGCTTGTGAGTGGAAATAGGGATGTTTGAATTTTCCCACTGAGATTTCTGGTGGAAAGCAGAAATGTGTTTTATGGCATCTTCTTTTAGAAATATTAAGTTTGTATATCAATTCATTTGAGCTATCTTTGAGTGGGAAATTGCCAGTTTGAAAACATGTACACTCTTCCAGAGCTGCTAAGGATCAGTGCTTCTTGGTGAAAAAAAAACTGACCATCTGGCCATGTCAGAAATCAAACCTGTAATGTTAGATCAGTTCTGATCAGAACCAGCATACAGTCTTGCAGAGAAACAAGATGATGCTGGAGCTGCAACACAAAATCTATGCTCTTAAACTGAGGTACACAGCTCATTCTGATGCCATTCTGAAAGCAGCTTGAGAGAGAATATTTTAAGATGAACTAGAGATGTTTTGTGCTCAAAGTTGCCTCACAAGTGGAGATGCCTTTAGTTCTTATATATGGAAAATTTCCAGCTAGTTTTACTCTTTTACCCTAATGAGTCTTCATTTCACATTCTGCAGTCAGGCCGTGCCTTGCTTTTCCTTTGGAGTGCAGGAAAACCTGTCTGAAAAATCATTCACTGAAACTACTTCTGCTCAATTTGTTTCCCAGACTGTTGATTTTTATCAAATGTCAATTTTTAGACCTCCTCAGCCTAGCACTTACCTGCCATCCTCTACCATGTTGACAGCAAAGAGAAACCAAAAATGCAATGCTTCCTCAGCTGAATCCTTCCACAGGAAATTAAGGACTGAAACTCTCTTTGCTGTTCCAATTCTCCAATCCAGCATGCCACCACAAATCACATTTGAGTAGCTGAAGCATATTCTCCCGTCTGCACTCTGAAAACAGGACTTTTAGCTGCTTTAGAAACAGGAACCACTGTTACCATCATGACTGCAAACTACAGAAAATGAACAGTTCCCCATGAAAAGCAGCTCAATGGTTTTTGGGTTGCAGCGTTCCTTCCTGCTAGACAGGATGGACCAGCAGTTAAAGAACTGGATTAAGTTCCTGTCCCAGTTTAAGAAGCAAACAGAAATCTGAGGTTGTTTTCTGTTTATTTGACTTATTTGTATTTATCATCTGGCATTTTAATTGCACAGCAAGTTATGGAAATGGATATTCTGTTCCCAAGAACAGTTTCATACTCATAGTAGAAATGCTGGGGAGGAAAGGTAACTAATAAAACAAAGAAGGGCAAGGCATCAACCGATGTAGAGAATAATCTTCTTACCAGAAGATACAAAATGAAGTGAATCAGCAGAGTCCTGCTGAAAGGCAGAAACTTTCCCAGTGTGAAGTGGTTTCCAACTGATCTTTCCAAGGACTAATCAGAATCCCTTCTGCCAAAAGGGTGTCTCAGAGATTTCAGCCCCCTTGTCTAGTAACATTTCATTCGCAAAAGGTTGCATCCTGAGAAACAGCTTCCTGAACAAATGACTGATACATCAGTTCCGGATCTTTCTTCCTCCAGAAGGAAAACATATAGAAATCTTGGTAAGAATTGAACTTGTATTTCTGATATTTCTTTCCTTCACTTGTGGTGCTGAGTCATCATAGCTGCACTGATGAAATATGTCTAACCTATGGATTGCTTGAATATTGCCTGAATTTAGCAAGTGTGCTACTGGTTTACTCTGACTGATCAACTGACATTTGCTAAGCAGTGCTAAGCAATTTAACAAAATGTACTGTAATCCTTGCTTTTGGCAGTGCATATCTCTAGGGAGCATGCATGACTTAGTGGAAACAGCCTTCTTGTATCAGTCTATTCACACCCTTTTGTAAGAGTAGGGAAACAAGTGTATCAGGATGTTTGCCTGCTCCCATTTCAAAAATGCCCATCAATATTGCAGAATGTGTCATGTAAATGCCTCAAGCCTTCTTTGCATTACTTTAAATCACCTCAGCAAAAGGAAACAAAAGAGAAAGCAAGAGGAAGATGCAAAAGTGCTGGGAGACCAATTAGTACAGTCTCTGCAGATAACGAAAAATAATTAATTTTCCCCCTTTCCTTCTTTCAGTGAGTAGTTTCTGTTACTGTAATAACATGTTAGGGATGTGCATTCTCACTTCTTGTCTATCTCCTAAAGTCACTTGAAAAAGCATTTACCTCTGCATTCTGGTTCTAGCAGGAAAGCTTAGAATAAAAATACAGAAAACACAATCTGTAAAACATTTGTTTTGTGCTCAATTAAAAGCTTGCAGTCATTCTGTATGACCACAAGTGTGTCAGAAGTAATATGAAACACCAGCTTGAATGCTCCCAGGAGCTCAGGCAACCAGAGGAAAGGAAAGGAGATGCAATCCAAGGGCTTTTGAAGTATTTTTGCCCTCAGACCACCCCTAAGATGGATCACCTCTATCTTTTTTCCAGGCTCAGAGCACTATGGTGGCTACTTGTTGTAGGAGGAGAGTTTCCTTCCTAACCTATGGCAACAAGCACAAGTATTAGAGGAAGTTTACCAACAGGAGGAAACTAATGTAATCAAATCCCTGGCATTGCAAGCCATGCAGTGAGTAGCATAACAATTGTATTGTCTTAATCATCTTTCCACCATGTTCTGTCCACTGGGTTAGTGTTACTAGACAGCTTATCTTCCACAGGCACTCCATGAGAGTGGGAATGAAAATAGAGAGGAAAGGAAACCCTACCAACTAGCTTGCCTTCTACATGACCTTCCTAGAGCCTCAACCTACTCAGAAAAACTTTTTTAGTTTTCACTACAGTTTGAAATGTTTATCCAGGATTTAGAAATACAGAAACAGGGTTATATCTCATGGGGATAAAATAATTATTCTTTGCTTACTTTTGCTTGTAGATTCTTATAACAAACCAGCTTCTCTCATCAGACTCATTGCAAATATAGTTTTGTGCACAAATTAATATGTGATCTTGCACACAGCTACTCAGCCCTAATAAAATTGTGTGCATTCCTGTATTTCATGCCTTCATACTAGGCCCCTCTTCCCACAATAGCTCTAAAAAACTGGTTGCCCAGACCAGACTCATAAGGCAAGCTTTGGACCAGAACGATTTCTTCTGACTCACACTCATTTTAGCCAACATTTCTCATAGTCTGTAACCTTCAATTTCCTCTGGTATTAGCTGAAAGTGCCTCTGCTGGTCTGCCCTCCTAACTGAAAAATTCCCGCGGTCGGTTCTTCTGCACCTTTGCTTTGTTCCTCCTCCGGTAATGACAAGTTGGAAAAACCCACCAGAAATGGACAGCCAGGAACAGAGGAATGTAGGAATTGCCAATGTGGATCAGACCCACAGTCTGTCTGGTTCTGTATCCTGTCTCCACCACGGGCTAATACCAAATGCTCCAGGAGAAGGTGTAAGAGCCCTGCAATAGGCAGCTTTGGAAGAACTTCCCTCCTCAAACAAGTTCTCATCCTGCTCTTCAGTAATTAGAGGCTGGACTCAGCCCTGAAATTACACAGCTTAATATCCTTCCCAAGCATGTCTCTGTACAAGCACTGTAGGTCTGCCCGTATTTAATATTCAAATGAACACAAGTCTCCTGAATTTCTGTGTTGTAGAGAACAATGTTTCCAAACAACAGCTAACAAGCTGCCAGGATACAATGCAAAACACACTTCCCGTGGAACAAGATAAACAGTTTATTCGCATACAGGTCGTTTAGTAAGTTTAAAACTCTGTGAGGTAACAATTTCTATTTACATGTATACACACACACAGACAAGCATAATTTAGGAAATCAGAAATGGGTTTTACCTTAATATCTGCTGAGATCTGAAAGAATCTCTGCTTCACTCCCTCCTTTTTTCTCTCTCCCTCTCTTGCATGGCTGGACTGACAGGTTGGCAGAGCTGAGAACGACAGGTTGGGTTTGTTTTTTTAGGCACAACTCCTCCCCCTCTCAAAGAGAGAAAAAAAATGCAAGACAGCTTGGGAAAAGTTCACAGAAAATCCCATCCTTTCAGCACATTAGATCTGACGAGAAATATACTACATTTGGGAGTCCAGCAGTTTTCCTATTATTTTTTTTTCTCAAAAAGGCTCAAAGTCTACTTTGCAATAACTATGAAGCAAGCAGAGGATTTGCATCAGGAACTAATTTGACCCCAGATCTTTCCCATGTCTCTGATAACTGATCCAACAGATAATTACAGCCCCTTTCAGACAGCCTCGACAACAATTTCTGTAGAAGTGGAAATGGATTTTACAAACAGCACAAATGTCTTTGGGCCTCAGACTTTATCTCTGCATAAAAGCCACCGGCAGACATCTGACATCCTCCTTTTCCTCCCAGACTCTTCTGCTCCTGCTAACCTGCCTGCACTTGCAGCAGAAAACAGGTTATTTTAAACTCCTGCTTCACTCTGTCCTTCGTTGCTGGCTTGTCGCTGTCTCTTGAAACAGTGATCCCTGCTGGGTATCCCAGAGAGATCTGGGAGAGTCCTTTCGCAGGCCTCACTGGCCATGGAAGTAAGAACAATGTAAAAGAGGGCACATACAGCACGGGGCAGTGCTATCACAGCTGTGTGCTTCCACTGGCCTTTACCAGTGTTTTGGCCCACCTAGATGTTATATTTTCCTGGAAACATCAATTATTTTTTTAAAGTTAGCTAATTAGAGTGTCACACCCAAGATGCAGATAGTGCTCTTTCCTTGATCCTATTAATAGGGCCTTCAGATTAGGGCACTATCAAAGAAGCTCAGCCTGCTCCCATTGCTGTGTGCCTGTATGCTGTGGATATGGAGACCCATGTGCAGAGACATTTGTTATTAAGTGATAAGAAGAAGGAATCAAGAAGTTTATGGCTGGTGTTGAAACATCCTCTGCATTTCTACTTTCCTGTAATCGATCAAAAGGATTGAGAGGCAAGTCTCTTCTGTGCTATAATGTTTTTCTTAGGATGGCAGTTTTGGCACAAATCTGTAATTTCCACAGCCTGCTCTCTGCAGAGTAGCTGTCACTTCCTTACCCTGCTGTTTCAAGCAGACATACAGTAGACTAATGACAGTCATCTGCATAAATTTGCATCATAGACTCCTTGAATAGAATCCGTATCTCCTCTGGGTCAGATTTGCAGCTGGTTTATAACAATGAAGTCTCCTAGACTTCATTTACCTGCGTCACTACGGCGAGCATTACAGCATTCAACGTGCTGATAAGCAACAGCTCCACAAAGCCATAAGGCTTCCAAAACTTTTGGGAAATAAAAACAGCCAGTTTAATTCAACACTGCAGTGAACTTGATTATAGGTGAATTCAAAGAGCACACACAAAGTCAGTATGACATCATATGCAAAAATGTCTGGTTGCATGTCTCACTAGCTAAACTTCTTCACTATTTCCTATGCCAGGGAAGTGCTATGCTCATCATTCCAGAACCATCTTCTCAGTTCCTCAGTTCCTCTCCTCAGTTTCTTGCAGAATGGATTTTTGTTCAGGATCTGAATCTTTTATCAGGCAACTGCTCTCAATCGTGTTCAGGTCCCTACTTAAGATTTTCAGGGAGATAACATAAATGTAAGAAGTCTTTCCTGACAGTAGAGCAGGCTAACTGAATCCAGGTAGAACTGGCCATAGCCAGCCCCAAAGTTCAGCAATAATGAACCATAGCTGAATGCACCAGTGCCTGTTGAGTGCCTCTATGAAGTGGGAAACTGTTCTTAAGGTTACAGCATTGTGAAGACCTTCATGTTTTTGCTTCAATTTCTGATAGATAGGGTGGAGATAAGAATGTTATCAGCATTAATTGCATACCAGGCTCAGCTTTATAGTATCAAGGGTAGATTTACTAGCAGAGCTATCAAGTTGTAGCTTGCTTTGGCACTCCTACATGACAGCCTTCTCAGTCCTCCCTTCTCAGCATTATGAGGCTAGAGATCTGCATCCTTTGCAACTTGCAGAATGCTTAAGGAAACAGCGTAGATCCAAAGAAGTTTATTTTGACTGCCCCAACAGCTTGGTGCCAGGAGCTCAAACATGCCCATTAAAGCACTCCTGCTTTACTTCTGGCATATTGATCCCACATGGTCTGGCCAGCCTGTGGAAGAGGAGAGAATGTGCCAATCTTCAGCTATAGCTTCCTGCTCAGTCCCTGTCCAGTTCCTGCAAGCTGGGAGTGTGATGAAACACTTTGTATGAAACACTTTACAGTCTCCCTACCCCTTCTTTACAAGGCTGTGTTTATCCAGGGAGCTAAGGGTACATGCAATCCAAGAGCTGGCCCACCACTCTTAGCAAACAATACTGCTACAAGAGTTTAAAAACAGTCAATAAATGCACTTCAATTAAATACTAAGTGAGGTCAGATTTCTCGTTTTTCCTGTTTAACTACCAAGTTGCAAGGCAGTCTAATAAAGGGCTTTCAGAGCTCAGTTTATTACAGGATCAGAAAGGCTACAAAATTGCATAAACTTTGGATCATCATTCTCAATTAGTTACACTCCCTTTAAATAGGAAAAAAAAATAATAGAGCAAAGAGCATGTCACATAATGTAAGAATCTAATCCAAAATTTCTTGATGCCCATCACGAGATTCCCATGGCTTTATATTGACAATGAATCCACACAACTAATATAATATTACTGTTGATGTTAGAGTACTGTTTCCTGCTGATCTTCAGTTTGGTTTCGTATGCCCTGCTGCTCTGTGGTGCTCAGAAAACATCTGATACAAATACAACAGATACAAATAGTCCTTTGTTTCTGCAGGTATCTTCATCAGGTATGGCTGAACAGATACCACTGGAGAAAAGGAGCAAAAGGGGAAAAAAAACATTCCAGCTCCCTGTTTTTGGCTTTGGGGAGAGTGGATCACACAAGAAGCAGTGCAGGGCTCACAAATCCATGTCCATTCCCTTAAACTGCAGACTGCCTATTTTAGAGTAACTCCGTTGTTCTAAATTTCCACTCACTCAAAGATCAGATTCTCTTTTTATAACCTGTAAACTGCAGGTGCTTAAAGTTTGCTGGGAGGGTGTGAAATTCTCTGCAGAAAAGAATAGAATATAGAACAAACATTTAAACTGGTGGTCCTAAATCAGCCCAAAAGTTCCTGTCAACTTAGAGGGCATAGATGAAGCCCTGTGGATGTCACAGAGCCACTTGTAGCATTACTCTGACAGGACATTCAGGCTACTGGGAACTAGAGAAGTGGTGTAGTCCTCTCTCATGCTGTTGCACAGGGAGAATATTTCAGTCTGGGGACTGAATAATTCACCAAGAAATCAGCTGGCCAGTGTGGAAATAATTTTAAATGAACTGAGCCCTTAGGTATTAAATTAACTGCATCTCTGGGGAAGGATGTGGATTATTGCAGCTGAATGAAGCCCTTATTTATCAGATGGAAAAGGTTAATGTCATTTCCTTTCCTTTCCTCCATGGTTTTTCTTACCACATCACCATTTATGGATAGCATGAGGTGCAGACAGTGAAAGAACATGTGCTTGATTGTTTAAATGACCAGAGCTGTTACTTTAATGGGGGAAGGGGGATAAGAAATTAAGACTTCTTCTGGTTTCCTGGGAGGAATTACAGGGCTGGGAAACATAAAACACTGAAGAAAGGAAATGGGCTTGTGCAGCACCTGGTCTTTGATTTGACATTCAAGAGCACCTAACTGAATGAGAGAATTTTTGCATTCTCATCTATTGTGCATACATAATAACAACCAGGATCAAACTAATCTAATATCCTTACTTCATACTTTATAAAGAGAGAATTAAGAAAGGTCATTTTTTTTCCCCTCCTTAATTAAGTTTAAATACAGTTAAATTAAGTTCTACTAATAAAGAGTCTATGGTTTTTCTAATTTGCCTCTGGAGTTTCAATAGCTGTTGACCTAAAGATAAATATCATAACAGTTCAGCTATCAATTACATGCTTTACTAATGATATCAACAAGGTAATTCTAATACCAGTTATGGAGACAATTTCCACAGTAATAAGACTGAGAGCACTGAAAGCTTATATTAAGAGAAGAAAACTCGTTTGGTTATAAAAGACTCAAGAGACACAAGTTTATTTCCCTGTCTCAAGCACAATATGCACTTATGCAAGCAAAATTAAGGTTAACTTGTATCTCTTAATAACAAAAGTAACAAAAATGGATCTACAACACATTGTCTGGGGTCAAAGTTCAAGAGAAGGATGAGCATGTGTAACCTCCTTACTACCTGTAGAAGCCTTACTATCCACCAAATGAAATCCAGCTTGAGGGCAGAACATCTGTTTATTTGCTGGATAAATTTCTTGTATGTGAAATGGAGTCAGTGGCATTACCCTACCTTGCAGAGGTGCCTTAAGGACAAAAAATTAATATTTGTTGGCACTGCAATGGGGATAGCTAATTCCAGCTCTGAATGAAACGAGGAGAAAGATATCCATTGACTTATATGAGATTGAGAGTAAACCCTTATTCATTTTACATTAGCCACTGAACAGCCATTTGAGGATAACATTGAATAACTATTAATACTTGTGTAGTTAAGATCAGCATCTAAGTTATAATGGAGTAAATTAATGTATGTCTCTAAGGCAACAAGAGTGTGACTATTGAGCTGGTTTCATGAGGTGAGCAATTGCAGCATGTGAAAATAAGCATATATAGAAGCTGAGTGCATGTGGTCTGATCTTTTTTTTCCTGACCACAAAGGAACGGCTTTACTGGATGACCAAGCAGCACGATACTACAGCAAATGGTCTTTTGCATAAAGCCAACCTCGACTTTTCTGTAATAGCTGTGTAAATATAATCACACTTATAAATTAAATGCTACTCTCCTGAGCTGGAGCATTATACATGTTCATTGAGATGGAATCCTTGTCAATTCAGTTTGTTAACTCAGTATTCATGCGCATTAGTCTTAGAAAAGAGAATGTGATTGCTTGAATAAATTCAGCCACTACCTTCTGCATCTCTGTATCAGTTGACATGCATCAGTCTGACTGTAATCTGGGTCTAGAAATATGTTGCCATGGAAATCCTAAATATTCAGTTATTGGCAAGGGAATTTGAATGGGATACCTGATAAATAGAAATATCCTAATTCTTGTCAACTGCATAGTTAATACCTAAGGTCTTAAGACATTACTGAAGATCTACAGTACCTTAGGAAGCAAAAGTCTGGTTTTCTCACTAATGTACACACTTCCAGATCCCAGATTCCATAGTGAGTCACAAGATCTCCCCCAGAGGTTCCTATTGCATAAACACAGTCTCTGCAGTGGGGCTTATTTTTGAGCTGTCTGGATCCAGCTAGTTCCACAGGCCAGAGGGTAATTGTTAATGATCTCTGACCACTTAGGCATTGCTACTCAGCAGTAGCCCTCGCACTCCGGATGACCTATGCTTTCCGTTTCTGTACACCACACGCATAGGGCCAGCCAGTGTCTGACCCCTTGTTTTATGGTTATTGTTCTGTGTGACTGAACAGTCTTAATAATTCAGCATGGTTCTATAGCACTGCTGTTTCCTAAGCAGAGTTGCAAACTTTACAACCCAAAATACGACCTATAAATAGATTTCCCTCTCAGGCAGAATCCAGCAGCTGTTTAACAACGTACAACATCCCCCTGCAGCAGTTTAGCACAAGAAGTAATACGTGTCATACCTAATTAAGCTGGAGGCAATTCAGGCTGGAGACCAATTCGTCGCTCTCCGTTGGTAAAGCAGCACGATAGACCATTACTAAGGGCATTAAATAGTTCTGTAATATTTAAAATGTCAGTAATTCTTACTCGGTAGGAGAAAATAAGTTCCACAGAGCACAGTAAATCAAACTTTGTGGCAGGAGCTCTGCTTTTAGCACTTTTCCTCTAGAAGCCCTGTGTCACCGCCTCTCTTTTCGGTCCACTCGCACAACGAGGAGGGTCCCGGCCGGGTGGGCGCTATCCGTTCAGCACCACGCGCCGAACGCCCGGCAGGCAGGGCTGCACGCAGCCTTGGGAAGGGTGACAGAGAAACTACGGACATCCAGCCAACTGCCCGTGCTCCTTGACGGTGGGAGCTGCCAGTGGTAAAGCTCACCCTGCCCTAGCCGTTATCTCAAAGCTTCGACCTGCTGTGGCTTCCGGAGTTTGGGCTCTGCCTTACGTTGCCCACTCGTGCTGAGCGGGATTAACTTGTTCTTCTACGGCAGGGAGCAAAGTAGAGAAGAAAATGCCTTTCTGGTGTTTTACATTTCGCTTGATTTTGTGCTGGAAAACAAATTAACCGAAGAGGATTTTCTGAATTTGAGCTAGGAACAAAAGACAAGGTGAAAGTGTCTGAATTTTGGAAATAGGCCAGGCTAGCAAAAGCTTTTCCTGAATGTAGTTTTACAAAGACCTTTCAGCATTAAAAGAATATAGAGAAAAACTGTTGTTTTTTTCTTTTGAAAGAATTATCTGAATACTATTTTCATTAATGTATTCATTATGCTTTCTTCTAAACAAAGAAACAAACAAACAAAAACAAAACATATTTCCATGTATAGAATTATGCCAAAAGAAAACTAAGCAGCCATACAATCTCTGGACTTGATCTATTAATTTGGATAAAACAATTAATTGGGTTAATGAAACTTAAAACTTGATTAATCAGTGACAAACATCTGCCTTTCTCATGAATATCCATAATTTCCTTTTTGGGTAACTCTGCTGCAGACTTCGCTACTGCAAAGTAATCTATGTACCAAAAAAATAAACTTATTGCATCCTCAATTTATTCCTTAAAGTTGGTTTGGGAGGGGGGGAAACAAAGCCTTCTTCAAACTGATATCAAGGAATCAATTGCCTCCTATGACTGCAAAAATATAAAGTATACTTATATTCAGGTGAGAAATTTTCCATCAGAGATGGAGAATCTTACATTCCTATCAAAATCAGGGTCTCCACAGTATCCCAGTTTTTTGTATTACGTATTTTAAACATATTTATAGCTGACCAGAAGAAATATTGAACAGAAATTATTGTTTCTATTGAGAGAGGTAATTTCTAAATACTGTTGGAAAAGTTCACTTACTTTAAGAAGTGGGTTTCTCTTCCTTCATTAGTTTGTCATTTATAATTGGCAACGTCCATGCCTTTGTGCTGAACAAAGTAGAGAACTGTGGAGAGCAGAATATTAATAATAATAAAAAATGTGCAACAAGAAAGGCCATGAAGCATAAGCAGGAAAATAATTTTGTCAGTGTCATCATGTTGATCCCTATTGTGAAGCCAGCTTATATCACCAGTGAAATCACATCATGTACACATACAGGTGAAACATTTTGTATAGAACTATCCAGTGAGCCAGCCTTTTGCATTCTGTAAATTGGAGAAGCTTACAAAAATCTAGTCTGCACTTTGCTGTTTTGTACATTATTTGTGCTTTAAATTTAAGAACATCGTGGCTTGCCGGCTTAGTAGTGAAAATTGATTTGGGCTATCAAGTGAAGTAAAACTCCAGGTTGTGTTTACTGAGCTCTCCTTATGTCTGAACCAGAAATACTGTCTTCTTGATCTCATGCTATCAAGCACAGCCTGTCTGCTTGGTTGTGAAAGTGAATAGATACTATTCAGACAACAGAATCTACTTGTCCTTCCCCATCATCTGTGTAGTTTTTCTGCTCCCCACTGGCCCACAGTTTTCTTCTGTATTTCGTGTTTTGGTTCAAATGAGAAGTACTGCTGTATGACTTAAAGGATTTTTCTGAAAAGCTCTAAGATACTGTGCAGCTCTGGCAGCACAGCAAGAGCTGAATTGCCAGCAGAGGGGGAGAGTTAGAGAGACATTGTGATTTGATCCAACATCCACTCAAGTCAGGGGAAGTATTCTCACTTACTGAGTCAATAAAAAGTAGGGAAAACCTTGCACTGGAGTTGTTTTTGTAATATTTTCTCTAATTCACATTTTCTAGATCCTATCATACTCTTTATCTGTAACATCAGTTTACCTTGCTACTAGTAGTAAAGTGTTAATCGCTTTTTGTGTGCAATAAAAAAATCTCTGGAAAATGCAAGGCCACATATGGTCTAGAAATAATAATTAAAATGAAAGAAATCCTCATTGACCAGAACAAAAAGGCACTGAGCAGCTTTGAGCAGAGAATGCCGTATGCCAACCCCTCATGCCCCTAATAAATCTGCATTTGATCGTGCACTGTAAGTCTTTAAGCATATTGTAGAAAAGGGGCAAATCCTCTTTTGGAATTTACTGACTTAAAAAATGAAAAGTAACATAATTCCATTTATTTTAACATCATTAGTTTCTCAAAAAGGAACCCTGATCACATCATGCAATAACATTACTATTATTTCTGTGATTCCACTACATTTTAACACTTGATACTGTACTTCATTGCTAGCCAATTTATTCTTTTGCTGTGGAGTTACACGAGAGGTGAGAAGCATGTTAAGGGTTGGAATGAAGCAAAAAAGTGACTTATGGCTTTGCCTTTTTTCCAAAGAAATTTTAATCCATTTATTGTCAGAATAATGCTGCTGAGCCTAGATGGGGCAGTTGTGCTGGAGAAGGGTGTTTTTCTGCTTTCTGTTGATACGTAAAATAAAACAAGATAAGGTTCCCTATCACATCCTTTAATATCACCAGAATGTTTTTAGAACTGGCTGTCAGCATTACACTAAAAAGAAAAACAAACAAATAGCAAAGCAATGAATAGCAACAGGAGAAACCGTGTTGGGCTGGGATTCTTGATGCTGCTTCTGTCACAGCAGCAGGCACAATGAGCTTGTCCACTTTTAATACAGGCAATACAGAATTTTGCCAGTTCTCATTTCACACTTTCTCCTCTTGAACAGCCTTCAAGTAAGATTTTAATCCAACTCTGTTGGCCTAAGGAGTTTATCAGAAAAAAGCAGTGAAGAGATTCCCCAGTTCCTTTTTGGTGCATATTTGGTCTCACCAAACAGGCAGAGCGTCCTTACAGACCTATGGGAATTACAGTTCTCAGTGGCCCATTGGCTCCTTGGCTCCCTGTCAAGCCCTTCATCTTCAAAGCACTCCATCCCCTTTTGATGCCAGCGTCTTTATTTGCATTTTGTAGCACTCAGAATAAGCTAGGCAAATATGTTTAAAGTCCAACACATGCTTTGTAGAATTGCCAGGTTTTAAAAAAGTATATATTGAGGAAATAGAGAAATCCATGAGCCCTTAACAAAGACTCAACTGCTGATGAAGAAGAAGGCATATTTTGTCCTCTGCTGACCTAGGTCACCTTTGAACAAACACAATGTTCTTTATCAACTTGCCAATTCAGCCATTCTTTTAAAGAACAGGCTTGTGTTTTGTTGTGTATTCTTCGCTTGTTTCTCTCTTGATCTTTGAGTAAATTGTGATATCTGAATTCAGCCACTGTAGAAATAGGTTCAGAGCTTCACAATTGACATCCCACTCATTTTATAACCAAGATGCCAGTCTCTTGAAATGAATGCAAATAATTTACCTTCTCTATCTTATGACTCAGATTTTCATAGTCTCTTTTGCCCATGTTCTAACATCCTTCCAATTCATACTAATTTATTTCACCAACACTAGCATTCATTTCAGTAAACTTCGATGGCAGTAAATCAATCATAGCTAGATTCTGTCATTCTGTCTGTGATTATCTTCCTTGCATATCCCTTGAGTTTAGTGCCAATGATCTCTAGGGTTATGCAAACAGCTGGATCTCATTGTAACAGGGAATAACAGAGTCTTATTCATAATCTATTAGGCTTACAAGAATCAGAGATGTGTGAACTACTCCCAAACAGCTATTTATACTTTCTTTTGAGGAAGTACAGTGTGTCTTCATACTGCTATTGATCACACACTTTCACATTTCACAATGTGCCCACAAACCTTTCCTCACACATTCCTAAGTACTTACAAGCCAAATACTTTCATTGCCATACCACGCTGTAATTGTTAGTTTAACAGTTTAATAGTTTGTTGTTAGTTTAATAGTTTTTGGATGTTATGTTGAGGGACGTGGCTTAGTGAGAACTATTGGTGATAGGTGGATGCTTGGACTGGATGATCTTGTAGGTCTTTTCCAACCTTGGTGTTTCTGTGATTCTGTGATATAAAGCAAAATGCTAGCAGTGTATTTGCAGTGTCTGTAGAAATCTCCTTTAAAGTGGCAGTCAGTAATTTGGGAAATGCTCAGCTTCATAAGACACCACATGCACAAATGAGAACAAAGAGGAGATTCTACCTGGATCTTCCTAAAGAATGTATTGGGGCTGAGAGATTGTCTGCTCAGATGGAGCTCAGACCTGACCTGCTGGATACATTCATGGACTTAAATGATATTCCAGGCAGTTGGAGACAAGAAAAAATTGGTTCTTTTGATTAAATTTGTTAAATATACTTGTATTAAACTACTTTTGCTAAAAATATGTTATATTTATCTAAGTATACATGCACACATATATCTAACACAACACAAGCAACAGTATTTTCTGGATGCCTTAGCTTTTTGTTTAAATTGTCATTCTTCTGATCTTCACTCTAGTTTCCACTGATGCATTACTTCAGCTAAAGCTCAGTTATACCATCTTCCATGTAAGTTTATGTCACAGCAAATAAAAATGAGTTGAGCAAGTTAAACATTCTCTCTCCAAACCAATTTTGCCTCCACATAGCATACACAGGTATTTAACATTATTTTAAAGCAAGTATTCACACTACTGACATAATAAACAGAACAACTGTGAGACAAGTGTCCCAGTTATTTCTGTACAGTGTTGCTGGGTGCCTGCCTCACCAAGACACTTTATTATACAGTTCACAGATTACTCAAGAGAAGAGAAAAAAAAATCAAGGAAGATGCAGAATGCAAACTAAACAAATGATGCATCTGGTTTTTGTGAGCTTAGTGAAAGGAGCCACGGAAATTCAGATCTCGATAGTGCAGCATAAGGAGAAGAGGCAGATCTTTTCAGACTTCAGCAATACAGAAAACAAGAGGAAAACAGTAGTGACGGAGGTAAGGCTACTAGCTTGAAGAGAAGAGCAATGGAAATGCACGTATCTGAAAAAGCGAATCTCCAAATGAATTTGCTGTTTTTACTCTTAGAATGTATATATGCATTTTTTCACTTTACGTCAAAATAGGATGAAGTCATCTGGATCTATCCAGTTATTTACTTTTAAAATAGCACAAGAAAGCAGTGCTTGTTATTGGCAGGCTGTTCTGCCCTAAAAGAAAAGGCAAGCAGAAATATGCAATCATTCTCTCCTATGCATAGGCATGGAAGCAATATAAAAGGTACTTTACCTTTACTCATGCCACCATGAGGAAGCTATGTCAAGGGTCCTTTGTTTCTTGTGTGCCAGCAGCTGTGCAACTGTAAAGAAAAACAGGGGTTGGGTTAATAATAAAGAAAGGTGCAAGCCATAGATTCTAAGGACTCAAGTTAAACATTTACCTCAGCTTGTTCCTATGAGCAAACTCAGAGGGTCTGCTTTGATAACGGCTGGCATCTTGAGAAATGGGCGACAGCCAATCTGCTGCTTGCCCCACTACTTCTCTGTTCAGACCTGCACAGCAGACAGCTACAGTCACCTGTGCACATCTAAGTTAGGATTTCAAAAACAACAGGCAGGAAATTCTGCCATGTAAGAAAAGCCCTTCACAATTCAAATGGTACTTCAAATATTTACACACAGGATTCGATTTGGAATTATCCACTGAAATACCTCTTAGGAATAAACAGGTTCAAGTCAATACATTCTGTTGTGCTGACAATTTATTTCTACAGAAATAAAGAAAATTCTTTTGTTTCTATATTAACATGAAAATGCAATTTCCTTTTCTGTCCGAGTCACACAACATGCAGCATTCAACCTCAGGTCCTGCTAAGAAGAGACCTGGGACAGAGATGTGTTGGTCTGTAGCCTTTGTCCCTCCTCCAGTATATATTAAAGAAGGGATGGCAACTTTTTGTAGCCAAGTTACATTGTCATGTGCCAAGGTGTAAGTAAGTAAGTAAGACATAGTAAGTAATAGGAGCTTCAAAAGACTCAGCATAGTTTCAGGTATCTCTCCCTACCTTCCAGGCTTCATATCTGGAGCCCCAAAGATCTACAGAAGCACAGATGCAGTCCAGGCTCTCAAAGTCCTTTAAGTACTCCTTGTAATTTTAGAGGAGCTGACTCAGACAATAGTTTATCAAAGGCTGAGGCCAGCTTGCAGTTTCTTAACAGATTTTGGAGAGCTCCACGAACACTGAAAAAAACCAACAACCACTTTTTTATGCCTAACATTTTCCCCTGAAATCTCAGAGACATGACACAAGGAACTAACCTCTCCACTTTAATGTAGACACATAAACATCTGCTTGCATGGTGACAATGAACTTCATGAGATCACTCTCATACAATCTCATGTTTGCTTACAAGAAGGCAAGCTCATTTCTTTTAATGACAGTTCTGTTCTCCGGAATAGTTCTTCAGTAGCTAAGGTATAAGCTATGACTCAGGAGAGATAATTCCTAGCTCAACTGCTAAGCAGCTATACAACTCAGGGCAAAGTGCCCTTTGTCTGTCTGCTCTATTTAGACTGTGGGCTCTTTGAGGTAAAACCAGCCTTTGACTGGATATTTGTGCAGCACCTAATACAATGGAAATCCAGTCTCAGCTTGGTAGTTCTGTAATACAAATTAATAACAATAACTAGACTTGACTGCTTGACAAAAAGCAAATAGTTCGGAAAAAGCTGTCTTAAATCTTTCTATCCCACTTCCCTAGACCAAAAAAAATCTACAAGTGTTATTTCTTTTGGCAGCTGAAACCTAATCCTACCTTGGTTAGCATAACAGAGAGAACAGGAAGTGCTGTGAAGGAATTTTTCATTCCCTGGGACGTCTTTGATCCCCCTTCCCTCCCTTTTCCTATCAGGTAATTTTCAAATCTTGATGTTTCCAGTTAGTCTACGTATCTTCTTGTTTTGTCTACTTCAGTCAAGTGTTATTTAACTTCCATTTCATGGATGAAAAACTGGTCTGTATTTAGACTCTGCTGTTGTGTAAGCCGGAACCTGAGAACTTCAGAATCCCAGAAGGGAATACAGCTAAAATTCACAGCCCTTGCTGGTGGAAAACCTATGATTACTTTACTTTAACACAGACAAGGTGCACTCATACAGTACATAAATGCTAAACAAATCATTTAATCATTTTCTGTTGTAGCCACCACTTCTTGTCACTTAGCTCTGATGTCTCAGTTCAACTTTCCAATACATGGAGGAAATTTTTTTTCCAACTATACATTTTGATTTACACTCATCTAAAATGTGCAAAGCTCGAAATAAATTAATGTTTGCTTAATATTTGGTGTTCTGAAGGAAGGACCCCTATTTCAGTCCCACATGAGATACAAAACTGCATCTCATGTGGGAAAGCTTTCGACAATGAAATAATAATTAAAATATGCATGACCCTCAAAGGGCTTAATTACCACACACTGCTGAGTGTAGCCTCATGCTTGTAGCAAATACAGTCTGTAGCACTACAAAGCAGGAGATGACAACACACGCCAGATAAAAATGAAAACAAGATCATCTTGGAGTAGATAATATGACATACTCTTTTCCTGCAAATGACTGCTTCTGTCACACAAGTTGGAGCTTCATAGCATGTGCAAAGCACACCACTTCCAACTGTGGCAGTTGCATATGTAGTCTTTCCATTTTGTCTCTTCTTGCATTGAATCAATCACTGTTTGCCTGGCCTGTTGTTTGTACAATGCTGTATTTCTTTTTAGCCTCAATTTATTCAGAGAGTCCTTTTTTTACTCACTATCTTCTTTACTCTGCAAAGCCTCTGACGTGCTTTGCAGGTTACCAGTCAGAAGTCTCTCAGAAGTCAGCAGGAGTGAAGGCCACAGCCCATTGTAGAGATTATTCTGACTGTTCAAACAGTGCCATGACAATCTTAGAGCTTCTCATGGTCAAAGTGGTAGTGCTGGGGTAAGCCACAGCAATAAGAGAGCATCTGTCATCCATCCACCAGAATGAAGATGTCATCTGTAATCTACTTCAAGGTAGGTTCAAAAAACATCTATGCCAGAGGAGAAATTTAGCTCTTGACTAACAAAGTATCTTGAAATTCCACAATTCCATGTATTCTACCTTGCAGTAAGAACAGTTGGACCCATTTTGTGCTGAGCAAACTGGGTTGCAAAGCTGACAAATGGCTTCCATTAATATAATTCCACTTGACTCAAAAAAAAAAAGCAAAGCACAATCCAACGGGGAAAGTTCAATTAACTGATTTTTTTTAATACACACAGACGCAAATATGTGGTTTCAGGACTCTGCTATTTTTATAGTCCTCAGTGTATCCACAATTCTTTGTACTCAGTTCCATAACAAATATGGCTCCATTATGTCTTTTCTTGTTGATGCTTTTTGTTTTGTTTTTTCCCCCCCTAGGCCATATTATATAGAACAGTTACTCCTAAATATTGCGCATGGTTCAGATTTTCTGATAGAATGACTCACTGTAATTCTGCTTAGTAGTAATGAAGAAATATGACTTGTTCTGGCAAATAATGCATGATAATCAACAGTGGTTTTGCCACTGATTCCTTTATTTGCAAAACTGTCTATAATTGGAAGCCACTGGAAGATACTGACTTGCTTAAATGATTATTGCCGTTGACTGCAGTACTGTTAAACTTGAAAGATGCCTACAGAACTGGAGTTAGACTCAAGTCTTTTCTTTTTTTTTTTTTTTTTCTCTCCTTTTTCTTCCTCCAGAGATGACAGCATTGCTTCTTCCTTCTCTTCTCTGAGAAAAGTATCAATATAGCTACAAAAAATGACTGGAAGGCAGAGTAAATATATAATTTCCTTCCTCTTTATGACTTGAACTTGTGAAAATCCAGAACCCCTTTTATTATTATTCCATTTTATAATAATCTGCACATGGAGGTATATTCTAGGCCATTATTGACTTCACTGGTCCTGAAACCAGGACATTACTCAGAGCTCCATTTACAAAATGTATATACCACTGTTCTGCAGTCTTGCTTCCAGCTATTTACAACTCCCCAGTGCCTAAGAGCAAACAGCTGGGGAATGAGTTAGGGATTCAATGGCACTCTTAGGACTCAATGGCACTATGCTTTTCTTTTCCATTTTTTTCCCCATTAAAAATTGGAATCTTTTCAGCATTATCAGAATAGAACAGGCAAACAGAAGGTGCACAGAATGAGACAGTACAAAAGCAGTCGATCCCACCAGCCTGATGGTGTTTGTTTGTCACTGCTTGCAAGTGCAGATGCTGTGGAGATGCATGGCCTAAAAAGGAACTTGTGCCTGAAGGATCAATGTGCACTGACTATGCACCAGCCTTTAAGTGCGTGTAATGGGCTGTGACTGGCTGTGACCCACCTTTTTCTCAGGCCCTTCTGGGGTGGTGTTTGCTAACGGAACTTGAACAGGTAGGAACTGCACTTGACTTTGTGAGGGTGACTCTACCTCATCAACCTGTGCAAGAGTGAAGGACGTTAGGTTCATCTAGAAGGGTGGAAGGAGAAATTATGGACCACAACTTCCATTGATATAAGAAGAGGATGGACTTATCTTGCTGGAGACAGAGGAAATTAAATGGAGATTGTCTCTCTTCATATTAAACAGCTCATTCACAGCCATCTAAAAACCATTTTTCCCCATTGTGAAACATAGACTTCTCCTTGTGTTTTCCATGCTGTGAAAGAGAGTTTCTTTATATGTTTAAGTGAATTTGGAACCTGGAAAATAGAATCAGTTCCTCTACTTTCCAACATGTCCAGGACGAAGTGGAGGAGCCCTTTGGTGTACACCATTGTTCTGCAGATCCCAGGATTTCATGGGGCCTTGCAAAAACCTGTCTTTGTTTCAGAACCAGTGTTCCTCTGCCCTTAACAAGGAGATACCTGAACTGGAACTGAAAAGGAAATTAGGGTGACCTGGAAGAGACAGCATTGTAACCTGCTGTGATGGGAAAATTACAAAAATAGTAAAATTAATAAATTAAACACCAGTCCATAAAGGCTCAATGGGCTCTAGAACGGATTGCCTGAGGGCACAGGCTATATAATGGGATCCTTTTCCACCCAGGATACCTTCAGGAATTCCTCAAACCAGGCCATAGGAGGGATATTTAGTGCTTCATACACAGTGGTATGACAGCACACGGCCTACACATGTCCCTAAGGTCTCCTCTGCACCTCTTGGGTCTTCATGCAGTCCCTTGGCCCACCCTCCTGACCAGCATGGCGCCTTGAGGACAGCTGCAAGCTTTGTGCTTATGGAAGCTCTGAGGGAGAGCAGGAGGAAGAGGGAGGGGAACAACCCACAGAAACGATGAAGGCAAAGTGTGTGTGAGGGAGGCGAAGCAGCCCTTAGCAGCTTGACAGGGCTTCAGACGAGGCCTGAGGAGCAGCTGGGAGCCATCTCTAACAGCAGGGCTGCATGGTTGCCTCCAGCCCAAGTGCAGGGTTCTGTAGAGTTCAGGTGGGGACCGAAAGCGAGAGACTGAGTTAAACAGTGTTCA